ATTCACTATATTTCTACAATGTGAAGCCCCCCAGTGATGTTTGTTGGTTTAGATTCGCCCCAGTAACTAGTTCGTTATAAGTACCATAAACCATAGTTATTGGAGTTATAAACCAACTCAGATATCTTGGGGGCCTCACATTGTACCAATCAACTTACTGTTGCGAAACGTAGAGAATTTTCGGGAATGATCCACCCATATGGGAAATTCACCAATTATAGATATTCACTATATTTCTACAATGTGAGGCCCCCCAGTGATGTTTGTTGGTTTAGATTCGCCCCAGTAACTAGTTCGTTATAAGTACCATAAACCATAGTTATTGGAGTTATAAACCAACTCAGATATCTTGGGGGCCTCACGTTGTACCAATCAACTTACTGTTGCGAAACGTAGAGAATTTTCGGGAATGATCCACTCATATGGGAAATTCACCAATTATAGATACTCACTATATTTCTACAATGCGAGGCCCCCCAGTGATGTTTGTTGGTTTAGATTCGCCCCAGTAACTAGTTCGTTATAAGTACCATAAACCATAGTTATTGGAGTTATAAACCAACTTAGATATCTTGGGGGCCTCACATTGTACCAATCAACTTACTGTTGCGAAACGTAGGGAATTTTCAGGAATGATCCAGAATAGCTATCAATAATCATCCCAGCAACCCCCAGCAACCCATCCATCTCCTACGTTTAGCACCAGTAAGTCAATGGATTCATGAATGGATTCCCCGGTATACTAACGATGTAAAACAAATCAACCAGTGTAGACGATGTTCCGTTTCCGGGTTTTCAACATCTATGTTAGTTGACCCTTTACCCTAGGGCCCTAGGGCAATGGATTCAATATAATGAAAACGGTGGATATAGAATGGTGGATTACACATGGTTTAACAATTAAAGAAACATGATGGAACCATGAAAATAACCTATTTTGGATTTATCGATGGTGTCCTTAGATTAAATGAAGAATCAAGAAATTTAGCCATAGAGAACTTATAGTGTATTTATGTTCAGCCAATAAATATGAGATTCAAAGGACTGGTTTTCTTGGAAAACAAATACCCTCTGGTAAACTAACATAACTATGGAAAATCATCATTTTTAATGGGAAAATCCACTATAAATGGTCATTTTCAATAGCTATGTTAGTCATTACCAAAGGGTATATGTTTCTTGTCCCCGGAGATTGCTGGAGATGCTGGAGATTGGAAATGGAAGGCACTTCCGCACAGATTTCTGTCCAGTGGTCCAGGACCAACAGATCTCCAACGATCAGTGCCGGAAACCATGGCTTCCGTCAACTCGTTATCTTGTTGGTTTCAACAAAAAAACGAGAGAATCTAAACAATTTAGTTTACAAGCATAACTAACCAGCTAGTTCGATATGACCAGAAACATCAGTTAACCAGAGAATTCACCTAGTTCATTGCGCCAAGTTAGCCAACTCCATCCCATGAAAATCCCCATGGAAAATCCTACCATTTTCCTACTAACTCCTGCTAAATCCCACGCAATTCCTATGAAATCACCATGAAATCACCATCAAATCATCAGATCCCCCTGACCCCAGGCACAGCTCAAGATCTAGTCCCATGGCCCGCCAACGCTCCTGGTCGAAGGCGACCCTCTTTCTTTGTATCCCATAAAAAAATGGCATTTTATCCCATAATGATGGTAATATGAAAGGAATATATATATATATATGTTTACCATTCATGATTTTTGGATATTTTGAGGGCCCTGGTATGTAACTGGGGTTGGTTTAGGTATTGGTTTATATCGGTTTATAGCATTATACTGGGCACATTATAATGATCACTAACCTGAAACTTGCGGCCATTTGGATGATTCCCCCTAAACAAAAAACCATGATTCCAGGGTTCGGGAGAATAGCGAGGTCGTTATGTTTTACCCAGATTAATGATTAATATGTACTAATGATCATTAGAGGAATATAATACTATTCTTAATAATAATAATTATATATATATATATGTATATATATGTATATATATATGTATATATATATATATGCAATGTGACTTGTTATAGTGTTTCACTAACCTGAAATAAGGAAATAAGGATAAATAAGGCCATGTAGGGATGATTCCCCGACTCCGAACCATGTTATTCGAGTGAGGTCACAGTGAGGTCACTATAATAAAATTTACTCAGATTTGTTTATAAATTGTTTATAATAACTTTTATTGGTAGGTATTGGTGTATAATTACATATTCCAATTGGATTACATATTCCAATTGGCTTATAAACCAACACCGGGTTATTGCGAATAGACACCGTAAAAATGCATTATGTTAATGAAATATTTGTGGGATATAATGGAATATATATATATATATATAGATATTTGGATATCTTGATGCGAAAAAATGTGGTTCAACCTGATTTACCCTGAGGCAAACATACAAAAAGGATGTGGAAAACACATGAAGAAACGCGTTTGGATAATGATCTACGTTTATGGTGACTTGGCGGGATTTTTGTTGACACACCGATACTGTGATAGCGGGAAGTCACCAAGGATAGCGATGGGATAGAACTCACCAGATCTCTTCAGAATGATCCAATGAGTGGGTGACTTACACTCTGGGAAACCTACAAAAAAACGAACTGGAAAGATCCACCATTTTATAGCTGGGTAAATCCACTATTTCGACTGGGCCATTTTCAAGTTCGCAAGCTGTAAACGTTTACCAGAGGGTACATCTCCTGAACTATGGACCCAACGCGATCTCCATGGGCCATGGCTTGGCTGAAGTTACACTTGATCGAACCATCATTTTTTTTCAAAAGTGTCCGTGTACCCTCTCGTAATTTAACAGTTTGCTATTAAAACATATCCCATGTATAATCGATTTACCTATTCAAAATGGTGATGTTCTATAGCTATGTTAGTTTACCAGAGGGTAAGTCATCCAATTGTTTGGCTGCTTATTTAATTTTGAATCCTGACCTCCCGTTGGTTCAAAACCCCAGCACAACACGACGATATTTCTCGCTGCAACACATCCGATGTTGGATTCATTGTTGATAATTGCTGCATGTGGCCCCTCCCCAGTTTTGTTTGGTTCATAAACCCCACTAACTATAGATATGTGTTATGAATTATGAATATTATATACAGTATATATATATGTATGTCTACAGTATATATATATATATACAGTACATATATATACAACATATATATATATATGCAACACATACATATGTATATATATATACAATACATATATATATATATACACAACACACACACATATATATATATATATTTACAACATATATATAGTATGAATTAACATGATATGTCAATATAGGTTCTTAAACATGCTGATTCGTGTTGTACTGAAAGATGGAAGATTTGACAAAATCTTCGACTGATGATGAAAATACCTAGGTCAATCACCAACTATTGGAAGGCCAACGATAAAATTAGGAAGGGTCACCAACGACAACAAAATCCCAATGTTTGATTGATGGCAATATCAATGATATCCATGTACTGTTTGATCTTTGAGCAAGGTGAACTAATTAATTGGTGGTTTCACATCTCTTGATGGCAATTACCCCGTTAAATAGATCCTCATTGCACCCCCATTACGTTTCCAATATATACCCATGTGGTTTGCAGAGGAATTAATGTGGTTATGTGGTTATCATAAACCGCTCGTATTTTAATGGTTTATACCACCTATAAAAATGGTGATGACTGCGGGATGGTTTATGAAATTGTTTAACCACATTATTTCAATGGGGGATGGGAAATGGTGCTCATCCTTCGGGTCCTTCGCAGACGCGATCGACGCGTCAACCGCGGCATCTTTCCTGTGGACAGAGCCACTCCGCCAGTCGTGAGAATCGAAAAAAGGAACGTGCAAAGCTTTGACCGTTGAACTGAAAACTACCCTTTGATGAACTTTGGCATATATATATATACACATACATCTATACATATATACATCTATACACATATACATATATACATATAAAAATATATAAGTACATACATATATACATATATATATATACATATATATATACTCAGTTATATGTATGTTTATGCTTATCATGTTTGTGTCCCTCTCTGCGTATTTTTTTCGCTTGCGACGAGAGGCGATTCTTCTGGAGTCAAAGTCGAACATCCCATGGCTGGCACCGAGTTTTACTGCGGTGATGGCTGAGTGTTTGATCCCGTTGATCCCGTTCATAGTGTATGGAAACATCTCCAAAAATCAAAAAAAGAATGAAACATGGTGAAACATGAAATCAGGTGGACATGCCTGGACATAACTGAAGAAGAATCAATTCATGTGCCAAACCTGGCAGCAGCTGACCGAACGTTGCATCCTCTCAACTGCTTGGGCCCCCGAGCGTGAAACTTGGTGGATCCGAGCAGGGAATACTTGTGGGATGGTGATGAAGCCATGCTTTGGCATACTTTGGTACCACAGGTCTGAATTTTTGACCCATACCCATAGGCCATACCCTACTAACCATCCAATAGTTTTGAGATTTTTGAGTAATCCAATGTTGACCCACACCGATCTAGACCAAGTAATGGATAACCATGGATAAACCTGACAAACCTCAACAGATCTAGACCTTCAGAAACAAAAAAGTGTCACCTTCGACCCGAATAAGAAGGAAGGACCACCATGGATCCAAAAATCAGCTTTTCCAGTGAATCATCAACCTTCCCCATTCTCAGCCGTCATACTGTGAAACTGCTACCAACAGAACATTTCTTTCCTGTCAGGAACCTTGAACACCACATGACTTTATGAAAAGCTGGCTGGGACGTCCTTTCTTACATCGAAAAGACAAAACCATCCACATCAATGCCATACACCTACCATTTATCAGTCTGTTTCCCGTTTCCTCCATTCGCGGGTTTCCTCAAGAAGGGGACCCCTTCACCTTTCCCAATCATGAACATCTCACCCTCCCCTGAGCCATTCTGGGCCCCTGCGGGCACTGGGCAATGCCATTATCCTGGGCATCAATGGATAGGTCTGCAGAGGAATTAATGTGGTTAACACAATAATAAACAACCCATTTGGAAATGGTTTATACCACTTATTTATGGTGAAATTGGGGATTGTTTATTGGTTTACCAACATTACTATTTATGGTGAAATTGGGGTAAGAAGTAGATTCAGAGGTACCCCCCAGTAAATTAACATAGACCCTGGAAGATAGGGGTTGGAAGATTGGTTTTAACTACACAATTACTATTTTCAGGGTCAAACTGATATATAATTTGTTAACTTACTCTTTTTTCAGACAGACCCATGTCAACTTCTGTAACGTTGGATGGTGCCCCTGCAAGGGACATAGCTGTGCAATCATGTCCTTGGTCCAAGTGATGTCACTTGGAGGACACAAAATAGATGTGGGGATGGGCGTCACAGTCACCGTTGGTTTTCTTTGGTTTTGCATAAATTTTAGGACCTGGAGTAAGATCATTTTGAAGCATGCGAATGTCAGAATAGAATGGGTAAGTCAATGTTAGAACATTGATATACCATATTTCTGCGGATGAAGCTCCATAAACCCCAGCTACCAGCTTTCTTGATGTTAGGGTAGTTAAGAGGTTTTGACCCATAGCCCAGTATTGTTTTCCTATAAATGAGGTATAGTCCTTGACAATAGCAATTTCGATATCACCATTTGATAATTTATGGGGGACACCGTTTCCGGACACGTATATGGTCTTCTGCAAAAATGGTGGACCCAACAAGTTGCCAACAAATTGTGTATTATATATATATGCACATAATATACATCCCAAATACAGGCCCATGCTATTCCTTTCCCCCCGAATACCAAATACCTTCCCAACAACCACTAGCAGCTATAGCATTCCTTTCTGGGTGGGTATGTAATATTACAAAGATGGCATTTTAATGCATTTTATGTCATATAAAAAATTATATTATATTGTGTATATATATATATATATATGTATACCATTTACCCTCTGGTAAACTAACATAACTATGGAAAATCACCATTTTTTAAAGGTAAGTCCACTATAAATGGCTATTTTCAATAGCTATGGCCATGTTTACCAGAGGGTATATCTGGTAAAACATGGTAAAAGGCTTCAGTTTGTCCATTTTTTCGGAGTCGCGGTGTGGGATGGATGCCATAAACTGGAGGTAGCTCCAGCCCCATTTTCAAACACATCCAGATCATATCAAGTTGGTGAACTATATCCAATATATCATCCCCATGATATATCATGATATCCCCTGGAAAATCTCCAATTAAACATGACATAACATGACCTATATCCACAGAGAACTCCAAATATGCCCTCCTGTGAATTAACAGTTCGCGATGGAGAATTTTCCAATTTATATAGGTGATACAAATGATGATTTACCGAACTTGACAATGCTGATATTCCACTTACGTTCAGACCCCACCAGAGGATTTTATATATATATATTCCGGATTGAAATCTGATATCTGTGATGTACCATGATTTACCTTAATGTGGGTAAAACAATAATTATAAACCAGTCCCCAAATCACCATAAATAGATATAAATAGGTGGTATATACGGTATAAACCATTCCAATTATTTCACATTGAAAATGGTGATGGCACCCATAAGATTCATCGATACCCATGAAACACCCCTTTGGGGCGCCCTGCCTGTCACCACTATACGCTCCAGGCCTCACGTGCCGTTGAAGGAAAATGATAGACGTTATGAAGACAACTGGGAAAATGGCTGGAAAGTGCTGGGGAACATGGCTGAGCACTGGAAACTCGTGCAATTGTTCTTGAGAAAAGTAAGAGTCTAAGCACTTCTTGATCTTGGGTCACCCTAACTCTTGGGACAAACTCATGCGACAAGAGACGGTCGCCACGAATCATTTACGGTGCCATGGCAGCTGTGTCCGGACCAAGCATACGCCACACCCCGAGTCAGGCGGATGTCCTATGTGGATGTACATGTGTATATATATATATGTAATATCATATAATGGGAAAATGGGATGACAATAGGATCACGATGAACAACTAATTAGTATTGTTGGGATATGGCTATTTATATGGGTATAATTATAGTACTATAAAGGAATCTATACAGGTGACAGGTGATGATTGTTTTTCACCTTTCTGTCCAGGAAGGAATGCACAGGGTTTCATCTCAAAATAAGGTACCCCGATTTCCTGGTTTATCACATGTTTTTCATTTAAAAAAACATGTTGCCGGAGATATGTTTGTTGGACAAACCGTTTGAACATCTGCTCGGTGGTATACCTACCCCTCTGAAAAATATGATAGTCAGTTGGGATTATTATTCCCAATATATGGAAAAAAAACATGTTCCAAACCACTAACCAGACATGTTTGGCCAGACAGCAAAATGTGCAACAAATACTTCACAACAGAAGAGGTGATGCCGTTCCATCAATTTCAACCGTCGCGAAGTTTCTGATGACAATCACCTGGATAAACTGCATACTGTATACATACTACATCACGGATAAAAAATAAAGCCCTTTTTGGAATGATTCATGATGATTCCCGTACTTGGCTCATCATATGCCATTGCTATATATATATAATACTAATGCATTAGTACATCATGAAAAAATGGACAACTATAAATTCACAACTATTTTCAGGACGAATTCTGACACCTCTTCCATTTCCCCCAAGCCCCGCGCCCGGGGGTGCACTTGGACCACGGTAGGGGGTTCAAGTTCCGGTCCTTCGCCAGAGAATGGAGACTGGGGATATCCATGGGAATGAATATCTTTGAAATATATCCAACAAAGTGGAAATATCTATGGTGAATCAAATTGGATCCAAATGATAGAAAAAAACACATTCATAAGTTAACATCCTAGATTTACAAACCCCAAATTACTGTTACTAGTGTTGGGCAGTTTCTTTCATGAAAATGATGATCAAAAAACATGGCCACTGACCATCACAAGTTTCCAACACAGGGATTGAAAAAAACAGCATATATTTTTTTTGGGAGGGGGGTGTTGTGAGCGCCAAAATTTGTCATGCAAGCTGCCCTTTTTATACAGCACATCATGCTTGCTGCCTGCAGAGCATGAGACATAGATGTTAGTGAAGGCACCAAGATATAACATGACTAAGGATTAATCTGGATTAATCCTAAACTGACTAGTTCTTGAAGTGATCTTAATTAGGAAGCTGGTTTGATTTTGACACGCATTGCTTTCAACAAAGTCAGCTAAGACTTTACAAAATTGTGTGATATACAATGCCAAGTTTTACTTGGGACGCATTGAACGAGACTTTGCATTCTTCCTAGATGACAAGATAGATGACAAGGGCTGAGCATATTGGTTATGGAAGAGAATTGCTTCCTCCACCCAAAATTTGTGAGAATGCGGGCGCAGACTATTGAGAAAGAAATTCAATGGTCGAATCCAGGCATTGAAGGTCTCAGACATGTTGGTGCGGACATTCTTGGCACGTTTCTTTTCCTTGGGGGTCCAAGTTGATTTGGAGCAACGATGGTTTTTCATGTGGAAGCAATCAACCATGTAGTACTTGATGTTCTCAAAGCCTTCACACTCATACTTCTTGACATAACTTTCGAAGTGGCATGCATCATCATGGAGCAAGAGGTCAGCAGAAACCAAGGGCATAGAGAGCACCTGCTGAAGGAGGTCAACCTTATCTTCATTCCGCTCATTGATACGATGTTCATAGGCACCTAGCACTTTCCCAGTGCAAGGGTCCACAGCAAACTGCCAACCAGCAGTGCGATCGGGTAGAACTTGTCGAACGGAATCCTTCTTTGCACAGTGACAGGAACGGTCATGCTCATAGAGCAACTTCATGGGCCGTCCTTTGAGAGGAACTTGTCGAGGTGACTCCACAGGTGTCAACAAAGCTGGATGGACTCCAAAGTGACCATCAAAGCCAACAGAAGTCACAGGCACAGATGGAGGAAAGAGCATGATTGGCTTGGTGATTTTGATCACAGTCTTGGCCGGAAAGTCAAGGTTGAATTCAACAACCTTATCTGGCTGGCGCTTGGCCACTGCGTACCCCTCAAGGGCATGCAACAGATGCTTGCGCAAGGAGTCACTCCAGAACATTTCAACATGATCTCCATCTGCAATGTTCCTCACAGCTGCCTCTTGACCAGGGCTAGTCTTGGCACGCGGAAGACGAAGGTAGCATAGCTCCAGGTACTTCATGGTGAAGGCTGTGTTGGAAGTAACAAAATACAGCCCACTCTTCTGAAGCTGGTTGAAGGTCATGCAATTGATCTTCTGTCCTCCAAGCCAGACAAAGTTGCAGCGCATGTAGAACCGACATTTTGGACAATATTTGGCCTGAGAAGCAATGGCAGTGATGGACTCACTGCTGAAGAGCCGCCCTTGTGCAATACTGCGGGACTTCTTGCAAATGAGAGCGCGTTGACAAAATGAGCACTTCTGAAGGCTAGACTTGTAGATGTGAACCGTCTTCACAGGACGAGGCGTCTTCACTTGCAACTGACGAGTCTTCGCCATGTTGTCTGACTACTATGCAAGGAGACTTGGAACCCAGCACTGCAGACACAGGAAAGTGACAGAACAAGTGAGTATGACTATGAGCAAGGACATCAAGTGCAGTGATTTTGTTTTGCATTGCCTATGATGACATCCAAAGAACTGTGTTTGTTTGGCGCATTTGAAGGCAAGAGGACAACTTTTTCCTTGACCACATGAAGCTGTATTTGCCTATAGCTTGTAGACCCAATGATCTATGTTTCACCAAAATCTAAGGCTGCCACTCACTCAGCACCCTCTCCAACCCCAGGGAAGCCAGAGTCATCCTGCTCTCCGACTGCAGGGAGGCCATCGGAAGCTGGAGAGGCAGCATGTGAAGCAGCAAGGCATTGCGTCTTCTTTGGTTGAGGCGAAGGTGAATCCAGCTCAATGACCTTTGTATGCATCCTCTTCAATGATTGGAAGGTGCCAGGCTCCTTCTTCACCTTGACCAAGGCTGGGGCAATCTGATGCGGTGTTGGAGCAGGGCTCTGGGAAGAACATGGTGCTACACGTTGTTCCTGAGCTTGAAGAACCGAAGGCGGTGGGACACAGAAGCGACCGGAGCTTGGCAGACGTGGCTTGATCTCTTTGCGAACTCTCTCTCCTCCAAAAGGACTTGCCCCTAGCACAGTTTCGATTCTTGGGATAGTCTTTTTGGTCTCGAAGCACAAACTCAGAAGATCATGGGACCACTGCCTTCTGGACATCCAATCGGTCGGAGGTGTGTTGTCTCCATCTTTCATGTTAGCAATGACCTGTTTGCCATCAGCAGAGATGAAGTCAGTGATCTGGCGGTTGTTCTCATCCTCTGGATATCGAACCACTGCAACAGGACCTTCACCAATTCCAGCTGGACGGACATAGGTGGCAAAGTCCAAGTTGACAATGAAATGTGCACGCTTGAGACCGGCCACAATGTCTTGCCTCTCAGCCTTATCAGGGAAAGCTGGAGCAATGAGGTCCAAGAAGTGACTGAACGGGATGGTGTTTTCTCCTGGCTTCAGCTTATCTTCAGCTTTGCCATTGACCCGGTTGTCACAAAGGATCCTGAGCTGGTTCTTGACAAATTTTGTGGTGGTCCACCTTTCGACTGTGTAGGCTTCCTCCAAGGAACTATCCAGGAATGCCTTCAACTTGGGCAAGGCTTGCTGGCTCATGTCAGCATCATCCAAGATGTCTGGACGCTCACGAAGACCAGGTTCTCCACGGAGCTGATCAAAGCTGGAGGCAATGCGGAAACTTGGCTGCATGGTCTCAGCCGTGTCACCGCGCAACAGCCAATATTCAGAGAAAGCCATTGCAATTGCCGAAGCAGCTGGTGTTTTCCCTGCTCCCGCATTTCCCAGAAGAACCAATGTTTTGTTCTTCATGTCTGGCAGCAAGGGAAAGATGACATCCTCCAGAAACCAGGCGCTCAGGTCATGCATGGTGAGATAGAAGTTGAAGGTGGGCTGCACAAAGACATTGCCAGTGGCATACCCTTTGAGAGACTCCTTGACCAAGCTAGTGTTCCAGCCATAGATTGGGCTTCCTTCCCGGTTGACCTCTATTTCTGCCCACTCAGTCCACTGGTTGTTCATGTTGCTCCTGGGGCCCTCACTCTGGATGTAGGAAAAGCCTTGCTCCAAGGCAGACTTCTCCTTGCATTTGCTTTTGGGCTTTGCTGTGAATTGGAAAGCAAGGATGGCATAGTCGGCAACCTTTTCGAGCAGGTACTGGAAACCTTGAGAGCCTGACCGGAAATTTTTGCCATAGTCTATGGTGAAGAGATCTCCAGTAGCAACCCGCTGCAGCCCGCGCACATCAACCTTCTGGGAGAAGATGTAATGCTTCAGGACTTCGTATGTGGTGTCATCCTGCTTGCGGAAGACCAGCTGGAAAGTGAAGGGTATGGGCAGGGCATCCTTGAGGGCCAAAGGCTGTGGAAGATTCTGGTGTGACTTGCTGCTGACCAGATCTGCAATGGTATCCAGCTCATCACCCTCCGTGGGTTCATAGAGCACCTTTTCAATTGCAGTCTTCAGCTTGGTGTTGCCTTCGATGGGCTTCAATGGCAAGGCTGTCAGCTCATACGTCGGTTCCAGCACGCGACCCACAGGATGCTCCAAGCTCGTGCATTGAAAGCACCCTGCAGCTACACACGCCTGGTTGAAGAGGTCAGCCATGATGACGACGAAGCAAAGAAAGGCAAGGCTACAGATGACAGCTGTGACCCAAAGATGACTGCTTATTTGACAGATGATGCGTTAGAGAAAGGATGAAGCAGAAATGATGTGGATTAATCTGGATTAATCCTGGGATGCAAAACTTCGAAAAAAAACCCAAAAAAAACAAAAAAAAACAAAGATTTGGCAACTAGTCCAGACATCAGAGTAGTTGTGGAAACATTGTTTTTTTTGTTTTTTTGTTTTTTTTGGTTCGCTCAAGTCGCTCCAGTCGAAAGGAAGAAGTCGCGAGTCAATCCGGGTTAGACGATTGCGCAGTTCGGGTTGGAGGATTTTGTAGTTCGGGTTAGACAGCAGACAGCAGACATGGGTTGCTTAGTATATCAAATGATTCGTCCTACTTACACAGGCTGTTGTGAGCGCAAAAAAACATGAAACCATCCATAGTATCAAGGCTATATATCCCCAAAAGTTCGTTTTTTTAGCGCTCACAACACCCCTTTCTGTTTTTTTTTGGGTGGGGCCACAAATCCCATCCATAATTCTTACCCTCTGGTAATTTAACGTAGCTATTGAAAATGACCATTAATAGTGGATTTTCCCATTAAAAATGGTGATTTTCAATAGCTATGCTAAATTACCAGAGGGTAGTATTTTTGGTATATGATTAATCATCAAAATGGTATATTTGCCTTGGCAAAAGAATACTACACACCTGTATATATGTGTGCGCGGTGGTTCCAAGACTGTCCCGCCTAGGCCGCTCAACAGATTGGCAGGTGGCATTGGTATTCCAATTGTGAGCATGGAAAAAAAAAACGCAAAATTGTGTTACCCATTGAATGCTCACGCAAATTCCGCATTGAATTTACCATCAATTTCGATATTTTGATGGAAAAAACTCGTTTAGTTGGCTGTCATTGCGCATGTTCGGCAATTTGAATGAAACACACTTTGCCATGGCAATGGTGAAGGTGGGTCTACAGTCTACAGGGTTAATTTCCCACTGCCTGGATTTCAGAACATTTTATGAACTGTGGTTCTTTGCTTGCCCGACAATGGCCACCTAATTATGTTTGGGTATTGGCATTTATATTTTCCTCCCAAGCAAAGAAAAAATGCCGGACGTGATACCACATGCAACTAACAATGCAAATATAACATGATATTGCATAAACTGTAGCCAAATTCCCGTTCTGGTTACATGGATGCATTTCTATGCATCAATTAGTCCCTCCTGTGTCTGCGTCTATGGTCTCTTTTCGTGACCCTTCACGTTGTCGATTTCGATCGACTTTGGCTGGTTATTTAAGGACAGGCCAAAGGTGGATAATTCAATCCTAAACTTCAAAATCGCAACATCAGAAAACACAAAGAGACATCATCGTGTTCAGAATTTTTGAACATGCGGACAACATCGGCTTGACGTGCGCACTGTTCTGTTCCACAATCAATATTTCACGTTCTCTTTGCTGTTTGTGATGACCTATCCAGACACGTTTATCCGCATGTGCCTAAGGTGTCCCGTGCCGGCAAGTCCTGCATGCTCATGAAGGGTGCTAATGCCTCACCCTCGGCCAGCACAATGGCCTCGGGCAAAGTTGACCATTCCCTGAACCTACTACATGGTTGGTGCTGGGCCATCTGAAGCATCACAATGACAATCACCAATTTCCCGCGTTGTGTTCAGGGCTCACCCCAATAGGCGCATGCATGCCTCGTCTGTCTTGGGCCCGCAATCTATGTTATGAGCGCTGGTATCAGCGGATGAAGCGCGGCTCTTTCATCCCTCCCGCCTTGCCATCATGTAGTCGAAAAAAAACGAATTCAAAAACACATATGGTGTAAAGAGCGTTTTTTTCATACACACAAAGACATGAACACATGCAATATGCAAATGTGTGTGTGTTGCACATATGTGTGCTTATATGGGCCTGAAAAAGGTTTCACCATTAAGCGAACTGGGCAATCAACAAGCGTGTGCGCGCGCATCATGTTGAGTGCGCAGTTGAGTTGACCGTGAGTCCAAAGATGGAACAGCTGCATGGTATATCTGTACTATGACTGTATGAAAAAATATATATATAATATATTAATTATATATATATACATATATCAAAAAAATGAAATTGCATCTGCTCAAAGCTGTTTGTTGAGGTTACTATCCGGCGTGGCAACCTGCACAGAGCTCTCAGAGAGTCCAGCGCATTGATCGGTCGGATACGTGCTATACATGTTGGCAAGCTGCACCACAGCTAGGCAAAACTACCTGCGCAGCCTGCGCTACTTGGTGGCTCATCCCACGAATCGTAAGTAGGTTATAACATGTTATAACCCCAGAAAAAATGTGATAACCTGCACTGGAGAGACGTCTTAAAACCTCAGCTTGGATTTGTGAACGAGAATTCCCTTTGCCTAGGAAAATGGCTTGCACTCGCATGTCCGCTGGTCCTCATTAATGTATCCCAGCAACTGTAACGACTTGACGATGCAAGACACGTTTTTTCAATGTTTTTCATGTTGGGATCTGTGGGTCCTCGATTGAAACATGCCGTGGTATCTCATCTTCGGGTAGCCCGTTGTAAAGACCAAGCCACATCCTGACCGTCCAAGTCCAAACTCTCTGGTGATGGTTTACGTTTCTTTTAAGAAATTGTGATCTCAGATCTGATTTCTGATTGGATTATGTTGGATATTTGATGATACCTGTGACACATCTAGTCCGGATGAATCTGATAATCATCACTTCAAGAGACGCGCATGCTGCGCAGATGAAACATGGCGAAACAAAACAACTGACTACGGAACATAGCATCCCTTGAAATCTGTGTTATCGCTCTGAAACATGTCAAGTTGCTGAGTTGGAGAAGACACCAACCTAGCCCATTACTTCAGTATACTTTAGCAACTTCTGCAACTTGTCTGCAAGGGACGCTAATACATGTGGTTCTTGTTCCATGTGGATCTCTCATGTGGATCCATCCATATTTTGACCTGGGGCTATCAGCATCTATATAACCTCAAAAAGAACATGGCAATGGAGCATGGAGAACCCACAAAAAGTCAATAAATCCTCTACACATGAAGGTTTCCTGAAACGGGGGTATCCCAAATCATTCATTTTAGTAAGATCTTCCATTAAATGACATCCATTTTGGGGTACCACCATTTCAGGAACCCCCTATCTACAAGCCGGTGGAATGGCACATGAGGCTTCTCCAGTAGGTATGTGGTTGGTGGTTTGAAGCCATCCCAAGAATTCTATCGTCATCTCAATCATCCCTTGTGTATGGTTGAAAACCAATACATACCCTCTGGTAAACATGGCCATAGCTATTGAAAATGACCATTTAGTTCGTTGATTTACTTATTAAAGATGGTGATTTTCCATAGTTATGTGGCTGTTTACCAGAGGGTACATATTTGAAAACCAATACCGGATATATGTACATTTTGAAACATCTTGAAACATACCCAGTACGTCGTGTTTTGAAACACCAGTACCTGTGCCATCCCACCAGATTACTGGAGAATATCAGATATTCACCGATTTCCCATGAACCGAATAAAGGTGCCTAGACATGGAGAATCGCCTAGGCATGGAGGATTTTCTGAACCACCAAAAAGGACAACCCTTTTTGGTGGGGTAGAGAACTTCCATCCCAAACTGTCTGGAAGAGATATCTTCCTTCGATTTTGAAGGATGTGATGAAATCTGATTTCTGGATCATGCAATTTCCCAGGTCGTAGCTCCCATTCGCTACGTATGCATGATGTGTTGCTTGGGATATCCTCAGTTGGTTCACACTCTTGTTGATCAATCTCCGCGTGTTTGTGGGATAATAGCCAACAATTGTCAGTCACTAGCTAAGGACTTCTCACTGGATACAGATGCTATCCTTTCGCGTATCCTTTCGCTTCCACCATGTTTTTTCGATCATATAGCCAGCATCACGTCCTCATCGTCAGCCACTTAAAATTGAAAATAACATCCGGAGCTTCTTGGTCACCAGGAGATGTACAACCACTGGAAGGAATCCTACAACAAAAACGCATGGGAAACCGCAGGACTGCTACAATGATGGGATTTTCAATGATTTTCATATACCCCGGGAAGCCTAAGTTCCAACCGGAAATCAATGGTGAGGAAACTCCAGTTCCAACCATGTGTATCCATGGAACTGATAACGGGATTCTTCACGAGAGGGAAACGATCGTCACTATTTCTCCAGGTCTCGATCAACATCGGGACATCCAACTGGACGTAACTGCCAGTGGTGCCCCCAAAGAAGAGCTAAGCTGATTTATAGCTACAGTTATGGCCCGAAATACCAATTATAAGTACTCAAAAAACCCATTCATAGAATGTATAATCCCATTTATAACCAGCTATAACTAATAAATGGCCATAAGTGTAGGTAATTTCCCCATGGTTTATGGATATAAACTATGGTGGATATATCAAACTAGGAGCTCGAAGAAATCCCCAAGTATGGGGCTGCGGCACAGTGAAAATAATTGCACCATGGAATCTGAATCCCCATCAGTTGGGACAGAACTAACCCCTGTGACTTTGGTTATCCACTTATAACTGGAAAATTGGATGACAAAAATAATAAAGATCACTTAAGTCCTTAGAGTACAAGGACATCCTCCCAATGCATTTGCCAGGGCTCAAGAGCTCCACCAAAGCATATTCAGAAACATGGCTCTGTCTGCGGGAAAATTTTCAGCACCAAATCCATTGGTTGATGATCCTTTTCCCCACTAGTCACCAAGTATGGCCATAAATTGATGGTTTTGTCCACACCATTTATCTGGTTGGTGGTTTCAACCGGTATACCTACCCCTCTGAAAAATATTAGTCAGTTGGGATTATTAATCTCAACTGAATGGAAAAATAGAAAATGTTCCAAGCTACCAACCAGTTTTGGACTACCCTCCGGTAATTCAGCATAGCTTAAACGGCAATGGTTCCATGCTGTAGTAAGAGATGTGGT